AATGTGTTGGGAGCCTAGCACTGTGGTGGAGCATTATGAGATGCCTGGCAAGACATATCTATACCCTTCTACATCTCAGCTACCATATTTATAAGAAGATAATCATCCCCCTTGATTCATAGGCTTGTCTTCAACATTAAGTAAGAGAATGAAGGTGATGACCTAATATGTACCTGATACATTGATGTAACTTGATAAATCATGAATTGCTGATGGATGCTGACTCGCAGGAAAAGTTTTCCTGCAACAGATGGAGGATGGAAGAAGGTGGTGGTATTCCCCGGTGCCCAGGGGTCTTGCAAGACAAGATCTCTGGGGCTTCACCCACCGAGCTGAGCAACACCTGCTGCCAGACACTCTCATCTAAATGTAGGATTTCACAAGAATGTTATGCCAACATTGTTGTAAAAATAAAAATGGGAAACAATTCACTATCTATCAACAGGAGCCTGGTTAAATAAATCATGATATTGTCAGTTCAAGGGAATACAATACAGTTCTTAAAAAGAATGGCAAAGATCTACATGTAAAGAAAAATAAAAAGATCTCTAAGGTATTCGTTAGCACGGCAGTGGGGTGGGGGCGGATATACAGAACATACAGAATGGATATAAGTGCTCCTCCCAATTTCCTAGGACAGTGAATATAGTAGACTACTAGATACTAAAATGTGGGGGTGTCTGGAAAGACAATCCAAGACTAGTCATTGGTATTACCTCGGGGTAGGAAAACTAGGGAACAGGGATGGGGGAGATTTATTTTTCACCGAATTCCCTTTTATACTACTTGACTGTTTAGCATGGGTGTAATGAGTTTTGTCAAGAGTCCAAAATTTTCTAAGTTTCATCTGTTTAAAGAAAAATCCAGTCTTTCAAGGCAGACAGATCCAGATCTGCCAGTTCCCACTGTGTGATGTTGGCTGAGTTACTCCATTTCTGAGTTTCCTCTTCTGCAAAATGGGATCATAACAGCAATTACTGCTACGGTTGGTAAACAATGTTAGCTATTAAAATTAGAAGTGCTGATTTGTATTAGCTGGCTTATTGTTTTTATGGTTCACAAGAAGAATAGTGCACTGAAGTTGCTCTCTGGAAATGCATCTACAGTGAAAGTACTCATCCATCTTCTTTCTTTCAGCATAAAGGATACACAAGCCTCCCACAGAGTCTAAACTGGACCTATCCTATCGAATGGGACCACTCCTTGGTTCTTACCTGCCATCAGGTCCCTCTTCGGTAAGGTGGGCCTTGGAGAGTGTCAGGACATTGGAACTGAGTAGGGAGGCAGGAGAGGCTTGCCTGCCCACAGCCCACCCCACTCACACTGGGAAACTGAGGTCAGCACCGGGACTTCTCCATCCCCACAGCCTCACTGTGCTTTCTCAGCTGCAGTGAAAGGAGGAGCCACGTTAGACACTGTCCAAGGCTTTAATGTGGGGCAAACTGGGAAGGCCACTGCAGAGGGGCTCAGGACCTTGCTCAGAAGGTCAGTGGGTAACACAAGAAAGCCCCTCATAAGTGCTCCTCCCAATTTCCTAGGGTTGGCGAAATGTGAAGAAAGGGAATAGACTTTGTGATTAAACCTGAGTTTGAATCCAGTGAACATACTCAGTGAAAGATGTGGGGCCTCTGAGAGCCTCAGCCAACCTAAAAAACAGAGATAAAATCACCTCCCACAAAGGGGTCCTAGAGTACAATAGGTTTTTATTAAATGTGTTTCCTTCTTAGGAAACCTGCATCTCCCTAATTAAAGAAATCCCTTTACAAAGGCTTATACAAAGTCTTGAATTATGAGGGGTTAGAAAACAAACTTAATCAGGGACTTGCTGTAGGGCCTCGAGCACAGGAAGCAACATTCAACATGCTGGCCTCACGTAAACAAACAGGGTCCAACGGGAACCAGCGCTCCTGCACCTCCTGGTGGAGGCACACACCACATCCTCTGTCAGCAGAAAACCAAACATGAAACTCACTGCACTTGCAGAGCTTGTGACCAATCCAAAAGAAGGCAAGGAACAGAGAAATACGGGGAGCATCACCATAGGGTTGCAATCAACAAAATCCGAACTAGGAAAACCTACAGTTCAAAGGGCCAAGTTCCTACAATAGGAACAGCAAGAAGGCAAGAGAAGAGAAAACAGAAATATAGGGGGGAATATGCAGATGACAACAGACTGAAGAGACCTATCACCCAGTGTGGTATATGCACTTTATTAGGATTCTGACTAGAGCAAATTGAAAAAAAATTTAAGAGAATTGGAGAAAATTGAACACTGATTAGATGTTTCATAATAAAGGAATTAACATTCATTTTTTAGATATGATAATAGTACTATAAGTATCTTTCAGTGATAAATATTAAAATATTTATGAATAAAATATCCAGGCTTGAATAGGCATCCAAATATTGGGAAATGACTGCATTCAGTATGAATGAAGCAAGAAGGACTGTCAGTTGATTATTATTAAAGTTCAGTGATGGGGATTCATTAAATGATTCTTTCTGCTTTTACATATGTTTGAAATTATTAAAATTAAATGATTAAACCACAGCCTGGGAGGCTGGGAGGGAATATTTACAACAAGTATAAATAAAGAACATTTTATATATATAAACTGCTACAAATCAGTAAGGAAAAAAAAAAAACCAGAATCCAATAGAAAGAAAATGGGCAAAAGACCATGAGAAACAACTCAGAGAGGTGGAAATCCAAATGGGCAATAAGCAAGTGAAAAGACAGTCCAGCCCTGGCTGGTGTAGCTCAGTGGGCTGAATATTGGCCCGTGAAGGGTCTCAGTTTGATTCCCAGTCTAGGGCACATGCCTGGGGTCTGGGCCAGGTCCCCAGTTGGAGGTGTACAGGAGGCAGCCAATTGATATTTCTCTCTAACATCAATGTTTCTGTCTCTCTCTGTCTCCCTCCCTCCCCTCTCCCTAAAAATAAATAAAATTTAAAAAAAGAAAAGAAAAGATGATCCACCTTATCTGTCAACAGAGAAATAAAAGTTAAAGCCACCTCACACTCAAATGTCTTAGTAGGAAAATAAATGTGTTGAAAGGAAGACTTGCCCACTGATAGAGGGATCACAGATAGGAATTTTTGCTTTACAATATGGCAAAACTTGGTGCAGTTTAAGACACAGTACCCTACAACTCAGGAATTTCACACTAAGGCATTTACTTGAAGGAAACATTTGTGTGATGAACAGATATAGGAAGAGATAATAAATGGCTACTAAGATAAAAAAAGAGACAGACAAGTAAATACTGTGCATTTCCTGAAAGAAAACATCACTCCAATAAGAATTATGTTTTTAGCAAAATTAAACCTGAATCTAAGTTCCTAGATTCAAAAGCCAATGTAAGGAAATACAGTTAACCCGAGCAACATGTCAAATAGCACTGATTAGAGATGCAATCAGGTGGTAAAATGACCCAGGGTCCAATAAATAAATTATAAAGAGAGAGATGAAAGAGGGCTCTACAGAATGAAGAGAAATATAAGAGAGTATTTAAATTCATAGAGACAGCAAGGAGAATGATTTCCAGGACTGGGGGGAGAGAGGAATGGAGGGAGAGAGGAATGAGGAGTTACTGGAGGGAGGAATGAGTATACGGTTTCAGCTGGGGAAGATGAAACTCCAAGTTCAGGAGATGATGGATGGTGGTGATGGTGACACAACACCATGAATGCACCCAATGCCACAAAACTGTACACTTAAAAATCGCTAAAATGGTGAATTTTATGTTATGTATATTTTACTACCATTTAAAACAATAAAAAAAACATTAAGAGACATGACCAATTTAACACTTGGACCTCGTGATTCAAAAAACTATAAAAAATTATGAGACAGTAAATTTGAACACTGATATTTGATGCAACAAAGGAATTATAGGTAATGGAGGAATGACAATGATATCATACTTATATTTTCTTATTTTTAATACCCCCCGACACATATACACACTGAGATATCTGTAGATAAACTAACACTCAGTATTTGATTCAAAATAATGCAGAAGGGGAAGTAGGTATGGGTAACTTCAAAAATATTAATCAGGATTAATGATAATTCAACTTAACAATGGATACACAAGATGCATTATACTAATCTGCCTACCTCTGGTCATTTCATATTTGTTTTAAATGAAAAAGAACCCATTATAAATGTGTTCAGAAGGGCAAGATGCTCTCAGCATCATGGTTGTAACAGCAGAACGTTAGCAACAATCTAACATCAGTGGACATGTGACTGGATTAAAGATATGTGGTGTTTCATTCGGCAGAGAACTAAAGTCAAGAAAGTGAATGAACCAGATCAGGAGTTCTCCACCAGGGGTGACTTTGCCCCCAAGGGACATTGGGCAGTGTCTGGAGACATCTCTGGTTGCCAGGACAGCATGGGTCCTACTGGCCTCTGGTGGGCAGAGGTCAGGAATGCTGCTTAAACATCCTACATGCATAGAACAGTCCCCCTCCCCAAATAATTATACAGCTTAAACTATCAAGGGTCCCAGAGTTTAAAATCTCTATGCTAGCTCCATACAGGATAGTCTTCAAACCTAGTATTGAATTAAAAACAAACAAACAAAAACAAGGAGCAAAGAGATATGTAAAAGTAACACCATGTAAGTAAAAGTTACACAAAACCAATATTGTTTATTGCTCGTGAGAATTTATCTATGTAGTAAAGTATAAAAATATGGAGAAGGCTATTGATACTGAGGGCAGGGGTATGAAATGTTGCAGAGGCAGTGTCAATAGAATTTGTAGCATTTATTTTATTTATTCTATCCCTCCTACCTAAAAATAAGGCAAATGTCTTTAAGGTTAATGGTAGGTACATGAATGCTCACTCTTTTAGACTCTGGTCTTTTCCATATCCTTGACATTGCTAACAACCAACAAACTAAACTGTGGGGCTGTGGACAGAAGTGCTGGGTGGACAGACAGAGACTGGGCACCATGGCAAGACCGAGATGTTCCTGAACACTCACCGGCCCCCGGAGGTCGATGAGCTCCTGCCTCATCTGGGACACGAGGGCTTCCTTGGCCACCAGGGCCCTGTGCAGGCGCTCGTTGAACTCAATCAGCTCACCATGCATCTCTGCCACCTGGAACACACAAGCACAGAACAGTGAGGCTCAGGGGGAAGACCCTCCCCCAGGACTTCCCCACCTGCTCTGGGCCCACTTATCATATCAGCAAGTCATCAGGAGGTTGTCTGGGCTGGAGACATAACACGGCTTACCTACGAGCTACGCAAATCCACCCATAAGTTGAATACATTTTTCTACTTGGTTAACTTTAACACTATGGAATCAACAGCCCACAGTTTATGATCAGAACATGACTGTATCAGGTCATTTTTGTACCTTACGCTTTTATTCTTAATTAATGAATACTTTTCTAGTAACACTTTGCTTTCTAATCTGAGTTACGTCTGTCAAGAATTTCCCTGCTAGTGGCACCAGCAGAATAACTGACCATTTCTGTTCATCAGGGCCTTGGCTCTGAAAACCAAGAAAACAGAACCAGAGCCTGTTGAGATGATGACAGTGACGGTGACAGACACAGGTGCAGCAGCACAACCACCCCTTAGTCACTGCTTAGTCTATGCCAGGAAACACTTCCTGTGCAGGCATCGTGTCTTCATTCCACCAGCTCTGTGAGGCAGGTAATATTCTTCCCACCTTACAGGAAGAGAAACATGCTGTAGTTTAAGGCACTGGGTTGAGGTCATGAAGCTAATGAAGGACTGACCCTGGAACCCTAGCCGTTGACCACTGGGCTACCTGCCACAATCCTACCTCTCCACTGTGCCCAGATGTAACCCGCTAGGCCCCACTGTGAGCTCTCAAAGTTTTCTACATTCATGCAATATCCCTGGCTGACCCCAAATAAATAAAAATGGTAGTAGCTATAAGGTAATCTATGATGTAGAATGAACAACAGATCTTTCTATCTGTAACTTACCAAAAGCACAAAGATATCTTATATGGTCAAGGCACTTATGATGCCCTATATAATGCATAAATATCAGACCATTTGCAATAAGTACTTTACGTAACATGTAAGACATCAGAACTAAGAAGGGATATTGGGAGAGGCTTTAGAAAAAAAGGACCATTAACCTGAGTCTTGATGCCTCGGGAGGAATAAAGGGGAGCCCTCCTTTTTATTTTTAGATATGTTGTTATGTAAAAGGTAAAAGGCAAAAAAGTAAATGTAGCAGAATATTAATATTCATCAATGTCTATTCTTTCTATTTTCCCTTAGTTTTTAGTTTCCTAATAAAGTGCACTCTTTCATTTATCAGCCAGGATATCCATTTAGACTCTTTAAAAGAAGGAAAACTCTTCATATGGAACTAAAGGAAGCCACAGTGCAACCAATGTGAAATTTATCAGGCTCCCAATTACAATCCTGAAGCTTCCATTACCTTTTCCTGGGAAGACCCACCCTGCAAATGGCAGTCTCTTTCAAACCAGTGTGAAATGCAAAGTGGAAATGGCACAAAAGACGCTGCAAGAACCATGCAATTAACAAAGGGAGAACACTGAGCTTTAAACAGGTTTTTCATTGTACAGACCTAAAATTAATATTCTCCAGTTGCCTTACTCCTATTGTATTAAAAAAAAAGCTTATGATCTTCCTTTGGCCTTTCACAAATAAATACAATATCACTTATAATGCCTGTGCAGATTCTCCTCACGGTAATCACATACACCCTCCATAAACTTCCTCGTCGCTGAGAACCCAGTTACCCCACAGTTAGCAGGAAGTACACAACTGGCAATATTCCTGCTGAATACCTGCTAATATGTCCCCACAAAATTCAAGTTTTAAATAAATGTCATTCTCACTTCCAAAGCAAAGCAGGTTTTTGCTTTGTTTTTGTTTTTATTTTGTTTTGCAGTGGGAGACAGAATGTAAAACAATTTTCCATAGATGTATAAAACATCAGAATATCCCAGCTTCAAGAAGTGTGTATCAGGAGCTGTCAAAACCCTTTTCTGGCTACTTCTCTTTTGTAGCCAGAAAAGTGACTTGACCACATCAGACAAAACTTTCTTTCACTAGGGAATGGGGGGGGGGGGGGGGAATCTGACGGTACCAAGGAGACAAAATGTGATGAAATAATTTCCAGCAGCCATTAAAATCGCAATGTTCATTGCTATTAAGCTTAGCTCTGAAATTCTGAATTTTTGTACTAGATTTCCCTCCGTACAGCCACTGACATAAACAGCTTTCATCTTACCCAAACCATACTGAGCTTAATGTTCCTCAAATAACTCTTTCCAAACTCTGGAATAAGTAGAAATGAATTCAAAACTTAGAGTGAGCCTCAGAAGAGGAATCTGAGATCACAAATAGTTTCCATTATCATAAAAATAACAGCAGGCTACACAACCACTGCCAGCTGGAATTTCTATTAGGTTCTGAGGGCACTTACAGGTCCAATCTAACCTTCATTTCTTATTTTCAACTGCTACAGCAGGAAATAGGGCAGAGAGAAAACACGTGCTGCCAAACCATTCTTTGCCAAGCAGGCAGAGTGATCTTTCTAAAACAACATCGGATATTGTCACCTGCTGTTTAAAACCTTCAATGCTTCCCACTGTCCTAAGGATAGAATACAAACACCTTTAAAATCTGGCACCAGCCTCTCTAACCCTATCTCCTACCCACTCCCTTCCAGTGCCTTACTAACTTTCACTCCATCCTCCATGTTCTGTAAACCTGCTGAGCTATAGGTCACCCAGGAGGCAAAGAGGAGAAAGGTGTGCCCAGTGGAGGAAAGTCCAGGTGCAAAGGCACAGAGGTTGACAGGGAGGCAGTTGAGAGAGTTGGTTAAGGGCTCAGACTCTGGTGTAAGACAAGCCTGTGCTTGATCACTTATGGACAACGTGCACTGGTATAAGTCATTTAACCTCTATAAGCTCAAGGCTGTTCACCTACAAAATGGGAATTAAAAGCCATCCCTACTTTACTGAGCCACTATGTGGAGGAAGTGAGCTATTGCTCTTAGCAGGCCCAGTCCCATGTCTGGGCCTGGCCAATGCTCAGTGACTGAGAGCTGGTTCTGCATGATGAGTGATCCCATAAAAGAAGATGAAGGAGAACAGGAAGGTCTCCAGAAGCCAGATGGAAAGGGGCCATATGTTCTGTACCAAGGAGCTCAGACAGCTGTGGAGAGACTCACTGTTCCCCAAGTGGAAATGTCACCAACAGAATTGTTAGCCATATGCCAGGCATTGTTCTTGGTGCTGGTGGGGGACAGAAAAGTCATGTGGTTCACATCCTTAAGGTGAAATCATTTAGAGCCCAGGGAGAGGAAGACGTGGAAGGAAGATAGCGTGTCAGGGAAGGGCTCTCCAAAGAAAACATTGAGAAGTCACCTCTCTACTGGGCCCTGACTCATGCCAGGCAGCCTCCTCTGGCCGATCTGTGCCCTGAATCATGGTGCGGGCACGCACTGTGCTCTGGCAGCATCAGTGCTCAGTGCTGAGTAGCTGCCGTGTATCTTCCTGCTTTCAGCCTTTTATTTCCTTTAAAATTAATCTGAAGGTAGTTGAGGAGGTGCCATTTGACAACACTAATGACAGTGACAAATCAAAAGCAAATTCCAAGTGGAGATACACTGATCACAGCTGATGCAGCTTCACACACAGACCAACATGGGCCAAAGGGTTGAGAATGGAGCCTTGATTCTCTGAAAGGCCCAAGGAGAAGACCTGACTGGTAAAAGACGTGGTTCCTAAGCTGTGCTTGGAAAGCGCACACTCATAATTAATAAGGTGTGAATGCTTATCAATCACCATTTGGGTTTCATCCTTTAGGCTAGTGAGAAGATGGTAGAAAAATTTAAGAAGTCACAGGGCTATTTGGCAACAACTACCAAACTTTTAAAATCCTTCATCTGTGACTTGGCCAGTCCCTGCTGAGGGGTTATGGTACCCATGTATTTCCACATGCATTCAAAGTAGGAGTTTAGTTCCGAATGGTGGGAACCTACCAAAATATCCAACCACTGGGGACTGATGAACTATGTCAGGTTCAGCTACTTTCTCCCATGCCCTGCCCTTGGCAGACATCTCTCATCAACAGCAGCACTCCTTCCTCAAGAAGACACCCAGGCAGCCATAACTAATCAACCAGTGCATGGATTTGCTAGGCTTATGAAATGACATCTATTTGGTATTGCTGGCAGAGGAGTAGAGGAAAAGGGTCATCAAGAAGGTGACATTTGAGTTGAACTTTAGAAGATGCCTTTGGAGCTTCAGGAGACTGAGTAATACATTCCAGCTGGAGCATCAGAGAAGATGATCTCCCAAAATAATGTGGCTGTGAAAAAGCTTTTAAGTCTGTGAAAATCTCAGAAATTATCATAATTACCTGCCAAATCATGAAAGTATTATAAATGTTTTTAAATGCCTCTGGCACTTCCTTTCATATCAGAATGTTCTATCTAATCATATTCAAGTAAATCATGCTTTGCCTTCCTTTGGCTCCCTAATTACATGCTTCCAGATTAATTAGATCAAGATACCTCCACCTCCAAACTTTAATAGCAACTGAGGCTCTTTTGGTCATAGACCCAAACTCTCCAAGAATGATCGCTTGGGTGCCTCAGAATCTACCTGGCTTAGATAAAATGCCCAAGTGTTTGGTCCCATTTACACTGGCTGTGGGGAGGATCTGGAAGCTCCTTTTGTGATGGTGACACTGCACCTGCCTCAGTAAAGACCAAAACGTCAGCAGCACCCATTTGCCTTAACATACCTTAGAGCACCCACCTACGTGCCAGGCCTTCTCCAGGCATTACATCCATCAGCTCTTGTGAGCCTCGCAACCCTTCTGCAGGGTGGGCCTGCCTTCCTTAAGGATGAGGTCTGCAGGCTCAGGGAGTCAGGAGCGGGCAGGACAAGGGTAGTCCCCTGTCTGTGTTCTTCGAACTCTACCTTGGGGTGTGGTAGAAAGCCAAGCCCTTCAGGGGTTCAGGAGTTGAGTTTGTCCCACAGAGGAGAGAAGAGTAAAACAGTGTGGCCCAGTGGCGCCCCAAGAAAGCTGATCATTAGTCACTTGGAGTGCTTCTGAGGAATGCAGATTT